AAACGCTCGGGAGATTTTCCCAGCCAGGGGTGAGGAACAGATGGAGCCTCAGTGTCCCCGCTCCTGATCCCAGCGCCTGGAATTCCCAACCAATGGAATTGGATCCCATCCCAAAGGAATTTTCCCTTCCTTTGGGATATTCCAAGGAGAAATCTCCGCCTGGGAGGGGAACTTGGAGTCCTTTTTGCTGTTTATGACAAACGCGGGAATCGCTGGTGGACACCTGGAAATCTGGGAATGGATTGGGATATGTGGGTTTTTTGGGATGTGTGGGTTATTTGGGATATGTGTGGGTTATTTGGGATGTGTGTGGATTATTTGGGATGTGTGGATTATTTGGGATGTGTGGATTATTTGGGATGTGTGTGGGTTATTTGGGATATGTGTGGGTTATTTGGGATGTGTAGGTTATTTGGGATGTGTAGGTTATTTGGGATGTGTGGGTTATCTGGGATGTGTGGGTTATTTGGGATATGTGGGTTATTTGGGATGTGTGGGTTATTTGGGATGTGTAGGTTATTTGGGATGTGTGTGGGTTATTTGGGATATGTGTGGGTTATTTGGGATATGTGGATTATTTGGGATGTGTAGGTTATTTGGGGTGTGTGGGTTATTTGGGATGTGTGTGGGTTATTTGGGATATGTGGGTTATTTGGGATGTGTGGGGGTTTTGGGATGTGTGGATTATTTGGGATGTGTGGGTTATTTGGGATGTGTGTGGGTTATTTGGGATATGTGTGGGGGTTTTGGGATGTGTGGATTATTTGGGATGTGTGGGTTATTTGGGATGTGTAGGTTATTTGGGATGTGTGGGTTATTTGGGATATGTGTGGGTTATTTGGGATATGTGTGGGTTATTTGGGATATGTGTGGATTATTTGGGATGTGGGGGTTTTGGGATGTGTGGATTATTTGGGATGTGTGGGTTATTTGGGATATGTGTGGATTATTTGGGATGTGTGCGGGTTATTTGGGATATGTGGATTATTTGTGATGTGTGGGGGTTTTGGGATGTGTGGGTTATTTGGGATGTGTGGGTTATTTGGGATGTGTATGTTATTTGGGATGTGTGGGTTATTTGGGATATGTGGATTATTTGGGATGTGTGGGGGTTATTTGGGATGTGTGGGGGTATTTGGGATGTGTGGGTTATTTGGGATGTGTAGGTTATTTGGGATGTGTGGGTTATTTGGGATGTGTGGATTATTTGGGATGTGTGGGTTATTTGGGATATGTGTGGGTTATTTGGGATGTGTAGGTTATTTGGGATGTGTGGGTTATTTGGGATGTGTAGGTTATTTGGGATATGTGTGGGTTATTTGGGATATGTGGATTATTTGGGATGTGTGGATTATTTGGGATGTGTGGATTATTTGGGATGTGTGGGGGGTTTGGGATGCGTGGGTTATTTGGGATGTGTGGGTTATTTGGGATCTGTAGGTTGTTTGGGATGTGTGTGGATTATTTGGGATATGTGGATTATTTGGGATGTGTGTGGGTTATTTGGGATGTGTGTGGATTATTTGGGATGTGTGGGGGGTTTGGGATGTGTGTGGGTTATTTGGGATGTGTGGGTTATTTGGGATGTGTAGGTTATTTGGGATATGTGTGGGTTATTTGGGATATGTGTGAGGTTATTTGGGATATGTGTGGGTTATTTGGGATATGTGTGGGTTATTTGGGATGTGTGGGTTATTTGGGATGTGTGGGTTATTTGGGATGTGTGGATTATTTGGGATATGTGGGTTATTTGGGATGTGTGTGGGTTATTTGGGATGTGTGTGGGTTATTTGGGATATGTGTGGGTTATTTGGGATGTGTGTGGGTTATATGGAATATACTGAATATATGGGATATGTGGAATATATGGAAAATATGGAATGTATGGGATATGTGGGATACATGAATGTGTGGATTATATGGAATGTGTGAATTATATGGAATATGTGGGATACATGGAATATATGGAATACATGGGATTTATGGAATAATTGTATGGATTATATTAAATATATTGGAGATATGGAGTGTATGGATTATATGGAACGTGTGGATTATATGGGATATATGGAATATATGGGATATATTAAATATATGTAGTATATTGATTATATGGAATATATGGATTATATGGGTTATATTCAATATACTGAATATATGGGTTATATTAAATATATGGAGTATATGGGATAAAGTGAATATATGGATTATATGGAATATATAGGATATATGGATTATATGGAATGTATGGGATATATGGATTATATGGAGTATATAAAATATATTGAATATATAGGAGATATTCCATATATGGGATAGTCAGATTACATGGAATATATAGGATTATATGGAATATATGGGAAATATTCCGTACATGGGATAGATGAATTGCATGGATTCTATGGGCTAGATGAATTCCATGGATTCTATTGGATAGATTAATTCCGTGGATTCTATGGGATGTGTTCCACGCATGGGATACATGAATTCCATGGATTCTATGGGATATCAGTTGTTGTCTATCCCATGTATAAAACTAATGAACAAATGGAAGATTTCTGATAAAACCCAACCGTGGCAATGGGGCCAAGTCCTGCTGGGGCTTCTCCAGGATCTTCCCACCCATTCTGGTCCCACACGGATGCATCTGATCCCAAAATCCCTGGATCCCTCTCTCTGGCAGCTCTGGAGAGGACTCGGATGTCCCTCAGCCCCTCCCGGCCTGGCCTTTCCAGGCGGCTCCACTTCCCGGGATGGGTTTGGGGCTCCTGGGACAAAAGGGAGCGTGAGGAACTCGGGGTGGAAAAAATGGGATGAGCTGAGGTTGGGAAGGAAACACGGGATGGGGAAAATGAGATGAGCTGGGGTTGGGAGAGAAACTCGGGATGAAAATGGGATGAGCTGGGAGAGAAACTCGGGATGAAAATGGGATGAGCTGGGGATGGGAGAAAAACTTGGGATGGGGAAAATGGGATGAGCTGAGGTTGGGAGAGAAACTCGGGATGAAAATGGGATGAGCTGTGAGGGAAACTTGGGATGAGGAAAAAGGGATGAGCTGGGAGCTGGGAGAGAAACTCGGGATGGGGAAAAGGGATGAGCTGGAGTTGGGAGAGAAACTCGGGATGGGGAAAAGGGATGAGCTGGGGTTGGGAGAGAAACTTGGGATGAAAATGGGATGAGCTGGGGTTGGGAGCGCTGTTCTTTGCGAGGGGAGCGCGGCCGGGCAGCCGCGGGGGCTCCGGGCCGGGGCTGTCCCGGGAGGTTCCCGGAGTGAGGACGCGGCGGCTCCAGGGGATCTTCCGGAGGGTCCCTTTGAGTTTCAAATGAGAGCCGGGACCTTTGTAGTGGCCGCCTTTGATCCCGGCCTTGCCGCTCTCCTCACCTGGGACCGCGCCTAAACCCGCGCCTAAACCCGGTCCTAGCCTGGATCCTGCCTGGGGATGTCTGGCCGTGGGGTTTGGGGTTTGTTTTGGTGTTTTCCTCCTGACCTTTTGCAAACCGCGACTGGAAGAAAACCCCCTTTTCACCTTTTCCCCTCCGGTTTTTTTTCCCCTCTTATCTCGGAACTAATTGGAGTCTCTAAAACCTTTTTGTTTTTGCTTTTTTTTCGGAGAGAAAGGAGCGTATTAGAGCGGGGAAAGATTTTATCTGCGGGGCAGAAGCCGCAGCAGGTACTTCATCCCTCATCCCTCATCCTTCATCCCTCATCCCTCATCCCTCGCCCAGCAGATTTGCAAATTTGCCCAAGCCCGAACAATGGATCCTCCTGGCAGCCCCTCTGTTGACTTGTTTAGAAATCCCAGAGGCGTTTCGAGGTAAAAAGGTCAGAGCTGCACCGGCCCCGCTCTTCCTCCCTCCCCTCCTGCCCCGCTCCGCGCCTCCCTGGAGGTAAAACCTGCAAATTTTATTTATTCTGTGGAAAATCTCCCTTTTAGGGCTCGCCTTGGGGGAGCCGGGGGCGTTGGAAGTTCGGTTTTTGGGGTTTGAGGAGCGTAAATTGGGAATAAATCAGGATTTGTTTCTATCCCTGCAGCTCCCGAGCGCGTCCCGGTTGCTGCGGCAGAGCCAGGGATGAGAATTCCCGGGATTTTCAGGCTGAGGATGATTTGCTGCTCCCATCAGGCCGGGAAATGAGTGGGGAATTCCAAGTTTTTGGGAAGCCGGGCCCGATTCCAGGGATGTTCCGGCAGGAAAAGGGATCGGCCCTTTTGTTTGGGATGTTGGAAACAAACCGAGATTTTCCTTCCTTCCTTCCTCCTCCTCCCCCGCCCCGCATCCCGCGATTCCCAGAGATCCCCGTTGGGTTGAAAAGACGGGAGTTGTGGAAAAAAAAACCGAAAAAAAAAACCAAACAACTTTATTGGGCTGAGGTAGTTCCGTGTCGAGGAGGGGGAAGAGGAGATTCCGGCCGGGATTTTGGGGATAATTCCATTTTTAGCAGCAGTTTCAGTCCTGGAGCTCCTGGCGAGGGAGGGGAGGGAGTTGGGCCGCGCTTAAATCGCGGCTTTATCTGGCTCCGATAAACCCCAGAGGGTGCGAGGAACCCTCCGAGCTTTGAGGCTGGAAAAAACTCATCCCAAAAAAACCTCATCCCCATCCATCCTCGCACCTCCCGCCAGCAGAGCCCCCCGAGGTCAGCTCCGATAACAAATCCCCTCCCTTCCTCCGCCGGCAGCAGCAAAAAATCGCCTGGAAAAACAACAAAAAATTAAAATAAAACCCTGTAAAGCAGAAATAGTGCAAAACCGGAGCAGGAAATTGGGGTTTTTTTCGCTTTTCGTCTATTTTTTTCCTCGGGGTTTGGGTCTTTGCAGAGGCCTCGAGCGTCTTGGGCGCCTCTTTGCAAGAAGAGAAAAACAGGAAATAAAAGGGAGTGGAAAGGAAAAAAAAAATGCCCGAAATTTATATTTTTTCCTGTTTTTTTTTTTAAACAATCTCACCAAGATGAAAAAAACGCATCGAGCAGGGGCGGGAGGTAAAAAAAATTAAAATCGTTGCTCTTTTTTTTTTTTTCCGATGGGGAGCGAACTAAATTAGTTTTAAAGTTTTTTTTTTTTTGTTTGTTTGTTTGTTTTTGTGTTTCTGGAGTTGAAAGTGCAGTTCCTAAAGGGGAGGGGGAAAGGCAGAAACGTCCCTGAGACACGGGAATGGCTGCGGAGCCTCTCCTTGGGAGCTCAGAGGGGTTATAAATAAAGAGAGACGCGGGGGGACAGGCGGGGGTGCCCCGGGGGGGAGGATCCCGTTCCTCGGGGCCACCCCCGCTGGGTCCCGGGGGGTTTCAGGAGGAGCCGGAGCTGGGGGAAGCCTCAGGTGAGGTGCAGTTGGATTGATCCGAGGCTTCGGCCGCTTCCTTGGCCGCCCTGGAGGCGGCGGCCGGGGCCAGCCCTTCCTTTTCCCTCTTCTTCTGCTTCATCCTCCTGTTCTGGAACCAGATCTTGACCTGGGTCTCGTTGAGCTCCAGGGTGGCGGCGATCTCCACCCTGCGGGCCCGCGTCAGGTACTTGTTGAAGTGGAACTCCTTCTCCAGCTCCGTCAGCTGCTTGGTGCTGAAGTTGGTGCGGATGGAGTTGGGCTGCCCCAGGAGCCCCAGCTCCGACGTTTTGCCTGAGAAAAACCCAAAAAACACCAGGGCAGGAGGGGCCGGAGGGATCCTCTCCCCTTCTCCCTCCTCCTGCCAGCTCCGCCATCCCTCCCGGCCTCACGCAGGGTTCTCGTCCCGCACCAGGCTCCGCTTTTCCCTTGGGAATTCGCATCCTCCCGGCTCCGCTTTTCCCTTGGGAATCTTTCCCCGCATCCTCCCGGCTCCGCTTTTCCCTTGGGAATCTTTCCCCGCATCCTCCCGGCTCCGCTTTTCCCCTCGGATCCATCCCGGGACCCCTCGGGGAAGGGCAGGGAGAGGGTGATGATGGCGGGGGGAGGAGGAGGAAGGCCGGGAATTTCGTGGGGAAGGAAGTGGAACAATAGAGGAGGGGATGGAAGGCACGGCTGAGGAAGGAGGAGGAAGTGCTGAGCGTTTCCTGCTCCGAGCTGGGCTCAAATCAGAGCTGGGCCTGCGGGAAACTGAGCTCAGGGAAGCTCCGTCGGATGTGATGGAAAATCTCTGGGTGGGGTTTAAAGAAAAGGCCCCAGAAGGCAAAGAAACCCAGCCCAAACAAGACCCCAAAACCCAAAGAAACCCAACCCAATCCCAACAAATGACCCCAAAACCCAAAGAAACCAAACCCAACCCGAAAAAAAGACCCCAAAACCCAAAGAAACCAAACCCAACCCGAAAAAATGACCTGAAAACCCAAAGAAACCCAACCCAACCCCAAGAAAAGACCCCAAACCCCAAACTCAACCCAACCACAACAAAATACCCCAAACCCCAAACAAACTCAACCCCCCAAAACCTCAAACGAAACCCCCAAACCCTTAAAGCCAACTCCCAATCCTTGGGCGAGCCAACACTTCCCACCTTCACCGTGAGCCCCAGACTCACCTGTTCTGGGGGGGTTCCTCTTCACCCTCATCCACTCGAAGGTCTGCGCTGCCCCCGGCCCGGGGCACGGCTCGGGGGGTCCCGGCGGCTCCGCTTCCTCGAGGAGGGAAGGCGAGAGGCCGAAGAGGCCGGGCAGGTACGGGGGCTGCTCCTGGCCCAGCGCTGGCGGCTGCGGGAGCTGCCCCGGGGGCCCGCAGTAGCCCTCGGNGTTCATGCCGCTCTCGTCCATCCGCCGCTGCTCCGGGAGGGTCAGGTTTAGGGCGGGGGGGATGGGGGGGGACTCCTCCTGCCCTACAACCCTCGGGCAGAGCCTGGAAGCCGCGAAAGTTCCATGGCGAAGCCCGCGGAAGCTCGGGGGGACCCCGCGGGCGGAGCGGGCCCAGCCCAATGAGCGCGGGGCTCCCGAACTTTGTGCCCGGCTCATCCATCAAGGGCCTGACATTTGCATGACAAAGGGGCTTCAATCAAACGCGGGCCCATCAATCTGATAACAACACCGAGGCGTCAAAAATCTTCCCCTCAAAGAGTTTTAAAAGGGGAGGGGGGCGAGGTGCGGGGCGCGGGGAAGGATTGGAATGACCCGCGAGTGTTTTAAGTGCTAAAAAGGCCCCCGAGTTATGCGAGGGAACCGATTTCAGGCCCAACTTGTGACTTTAAAAGGTTTTTTATTTTTTCTTTCCTTCCCCCCCCTCCCGATGCCGGTGTGAGAAAAAAAAAGGGGGAAGAGGGGAGGCACAAAAGGATGCGCTTTTATTCATCGGGAAACTTTTCCCGACAAAGCTCCTGGCACCGCGGTTTGGCTTTTTCCGGGATGAGGAACCCGCTGAAAGCTCCTGAAGAAAAATCAGCTCCATTTTCACTTTAATTTTTTTTTTTTTTCCCGCACGGGCTTTGTGTCCGGGCTAAAAGCACCGTAATTAGATCAATATTTTAATGAGGGAAATAAAGTTAGCGAGGACAGGATGGCTTTTGTTGGAGAGTGCCCGGCCTGGAAAATCCGGGATGGGAACTGAGAGCGGCCCCGGCGCCCACCTGGGACCTTCCCTCCATCCGCACTCCCCCCTAAATCCGGATTTTAGGGGTTCACCAGCTCACATTCCTCACTAAATCCGGTTTTTAGGGGTTCACTCCTCACTAAATCGGGATTTTAGGGGTTCACCAGCTCACATTCCTCACTAAATCCGGTTTTTAGGGGTTCACTCCTCACTAAATCCGGTTTTTAGGGGTTCACACCTCACACTTCCCCCTAAATCTCTCCCATAAATCCGGTTTTTAGGGGTTCACACCTCACACTCCCCCGTAAATCCGGTTTTTAGGGGCTCACCAGTTCACATTCCCCACTAAATCCGGTTTTTAGGGGTTCACTCCTCGCTAAATCCGGTTTTTAGAGGTCCACACCTCACATTCCCCCCTAAATCTGGTTTTTAGGGATTCACTCCTCACTAAATCCAGATTTTTGAGGCTCACACCTCACATTCCCTCCTAAATCTGGTTTTTAGGGGCTCACTCCTCACTAGATCTGGTTTTTAGAGGTTCACACTGCACACTCCCCCCTAAATCCGGTTTTTAGGGGCTCACACTTCACTAAATCCGGTTTTTAGGGGCTCACTCCACACTAAATCCGGTTTTTAGGGGTTCACTCCTCACTAAATCCTGATTTTAGAGGTCCGCACCTCACATTCCCCCCTAAATCCGGTTTTTAGGGGCTCACACCGCACACTCCGCCCTAAATCTCCCCCATAAATCCGGTTTTTAGGGGTTCACTCCTCACTAAATCGGGATTTTAGGGGTTCACCAGCTCACATTCCTCACTAAATCCGGTTTTTAGGGGTTCACTCCTCACTAAATCCTTTTAGGGGTTCACTCCTCACTAAATCCAGATTTTGGAGGCTCACACCTCACACTCCCCCATAAATCCGATTTTTCGGCTTTCCCCCACCCCACCAAACCGCATTTTTGGGGCTTTTTAAGCCTCTCTGGTGCACTAAGCTCAGCTTTCGGGGCCGATCTCGGCTCGAGCGGGGTCCAGCTGAGGAGGAGGAGGGCAGAGAATGGGAACATAGGTAGGCAACATTTATTTACTTGTTCCGAGGAGGGAGACAAGAGCAGGCGGCCATCGGACGCCCACAGTCATTTGTTACTTGTCAGGATATTTACTGCCCGGCCACGCTCCCGGGAGGAGCAGGAAAGCTCCGCTGCCTCTCCCTCTCTTTCCCCCCAGGCCAAAAGTTCACCCTGAAAGGAGAACCCGCGTCCTTTCCGCTGATGCGATGCGTTCTAAGCGAGAAATTTCAGTTTTTCCCCCTCTTTTCAAGGCTAAAATTGGATTTTTAGCCGCTTCCAGCTCCTGTTTTTCCGTAAAAAAAAAATTTAAATTTTCGTTTATTCATTTATTCCGATTTTTGGCGGATGCTGAGGGGGCTCTGAAAGGAAATGTTTGAGGTTAGGAACGCTCTGCAAAACTTTCTGCTGCCTTCTTTGCATAAAGATTCAAAGCGGCTCGAGAGAAATCGATTTCTAATTCGATATTTTATTTTATTTTATTTTATTTTATTTTATTTTATTTTATTTTATTTTATTTTATTTTATTTTATTTTATTTTATTTTATTTTATTTTCTTTTATATTTCTTTTCTTTTCTTTTCTTTTCTTTTCTTTTCTTTTCTTTTCTTTTCTTTTCTTTTCTTTTCTTTTCTTTTCTTTTCTTTTCTTTTCTTTTCTTTTCTTTTCTTTTCTTTTCTTTTCTTTTCTTTTCTTTTCTTTTCTTTTCTTTTCTTTTCTTTTTTCTTTTTTCTTTTTCTTTTCTTTTTTCTCTTCTCTTTTCTCTTCTCTTTTCTCTTCTCTTTTCTCTTCTCTCTTCTCTCTTCTCTCTTCTCTTTTCTATTTAATTTGATTTTTATTTTATTTTATTTTACTTTATAATTTTATTTTAATATTTTAATTTTATTTTACTTTATAATTTTATTTTAATATGTTTATTTTAATTTTATTTTATTTTTATTTTTATTTTTTCTTTTTCGTTGAAAAATAAAAAGAGATAAAATTTAAAGAGATGTCGGGTGTTTATTTCAGCCTCCAGCCAATGATGATTTCCCATCCTTGGGAGGTTTTTAAATCCTGAAAATCCTGGAAAAATCCCTGATCCTGAACTGTGGGAGGGAAATTCAGATAAATTAGTAAAAAACGGGGAAAAAACCCCAGATAATTCAGATAAAATTGGGGGGAAAACCCCAAATAATTCGGATAAAATAGGGAAAAAACACAGATAATTCAGATAAAATAGGGGGAAAACCTACAGATAATTCGGATAAAATAGGAAAAATCCGGAAAAGCCCCAGATAATTCAGATAAAATAGGAGAAAAATCCCAAATTAATTCAGATAAAATAGGGAAACCCCCCCCCCAAATAATTCAGATAAAATAGGAAAAAAAACCCCAAATAATTCAGATAAAATAGGGGAAAAATCCCAAATTAATTCAGATAAAATAGGGGGAAAATCCCAAATTAATTCAGATAAAATAGGGAAAAAAAACCCTCAAATAATTCAGATAAAATAGGAAAAAAATCCCAAATAATTCAGATAAAATAGGGAAAAAAACCCCCAAATAATTCAGATAAAATAGGGGGAAAATCCCAAATTAATTCAGATAAAATAGGGGGAAAATCCCAAATTAATTCAGACAAAATAGGGAAAAAAAAACCCCCAAATAATTCAGATAAAATAGGGTAAAAAATCCCAAATAATTCAGATAAAACAGGGGGAAAATCCCAAATAATTCATATAAAATAGGGGAAATATCCCAGATAATTCGGATAAAACAGGGAAAAACCAGGAATTCCCCAGATAATTGGGATCAAATGGAATAGCGGGGCCGGGGCCGGGTGGGGACAGGAGGGTCCCGCTGTCCCCGGACGCGGAGCCCGTCCCGGGATGCTCAGCTCTGCTTTTCCCGGACGCTTGGAGAGGAAGATTTGGGGAAATCCCTGGATTTTCCCGGTTTTTCCCCTTCCAGCCCCGCCTCCTTCAGCGCTGAGGGATCAAATTCCCGCCCTGCTTCCCTGGGAATGACAGCGGCCTCGTTAATTAGCTTCATTTGCATATTTATGGATGGGCGGGAGTGGAGGGAAAGGATGTGGGGGGTCCCAAATCCCTCAGGATCCCCTCAGATCCTGAATCCCTTGGGATTCCCTCAGATCCCGAATCCAAACGAGGGTCCCAAATCCCTTGGGATTGCCATAGATCCCAAATCCCACTGAGGGTCTCAAATCCCACAGGATTCCCTCAGATCCCAAATCCAACAGAAGGTCCCAAACATGCTGGGATCCCCTCAGATCCCAAATCCAGCCAAGGGTCCCAAATCCCTTGGGATCCCCTCAGATCCCAAATCCATCGGGATTCCCTCAGATCCTAATCCAACCGAGGGTTCTGAATTCCTCAGGATTGCCTCAGATCCCAAATCCAACCAAGGGTCCCAAATCCCTTGGGATCCCCTCAAATCCTGAATCCGTTGAGATTCCCTCAGATCCCAAATCCAACTGAGCGTCTCAAATCCCTCGGGATTGTCCCAGATCCCGAATCCCACCGAAGGTCCCGAATCCCCCAGGATCCACTCAGATCCTGAATCCATCTCAGGGTCTCAAATCCCCCAGGATTCCCTCAGATCCTGAATCCATTGCGATTTTGTCAGATCTCAAATCTCACTGAAGGTCCTGAATCCCTTGGGATCTCCTCAAATCCAGAATCCCCTGGGTTCCCTCAGATTCTGAATCCGTCGAGATTCCCTCAGATCCTGAATCCCACTGCAGGTCTGAAATCCCTTGGGATTCCCTCAGATCCCGAATCCCCCCGGATCCTCTCAGATTCCGAATCCATCAGGATCTTGTCAGATCTCAAATCCCACTGAGGGTCCCGAATCCCTTGCGATCCCCTCAGATCCCGAATCCCTTGGGATCCCCTCAGATCCTGAATGCCTTGGGATCCTGTCAGATCCCGAATGCCTTGGGATCCCCTCAGATCCTGAATCCCTTGGGATCCCCTCAGATCCCGAATCCCCCCGGATCCCCTCAGATTCTGAATCCATCAGGATCTTGTCAGATCTCAAATCCCACTGAGGGTCCCAAATCCCTTGCGATCCCCTCAGATCCTGAATGCCTTGGGATCCCCTCAGATCCCGAATGCCTTGGGATCCCCTCAGATCCCGAATGCCTTGGGATCCCCTCAGATCCCGA